TTTTTTTTGAAAGCCAGGGTTGTCAAATTCTTGTTAGAAACTGATTCATAAATATTTGATGTTCATTTGAAATAAGAAAGTGTTGCCATGGTAATCATTACTTTTCATGGTTGTCGTTCGATGTAATTTTTGTGCCTTTCACTATGGAAAGATTAAGTGTTCGTATCATTTTGTAACAGTTATTATTTCAGCCAAGAATGATGAATTCATCGAAGACCACGAATCTCACTGCTTTGTCAGCACGTCCAACAGGCGCTGCAGTTCCTTACCCGAAGTCGATGAATGAGCAGAAAATTAAAGTTAGTTTGCTTTTAAGCTGTCAGCATTCATTTCCTTTGTACGCTGTCGTTTTTAAGCAGTTCTGTTCCACTTGTTTTCCCCCTTTTCTTTTTTAGCTGAACTGTTGTTTATCTTCATAACGGATAACTTTTGCTGATTTTACCTTTTTAGTAGTTTTATGAATTTCGACAATGTTTTTCCTCATGTGTGGCATCTGTAAACCTTCAAGGTTGGCAGCGCCACCCATTCCACCATCCTATCGTCCCCGCATCTGTCTCTACTCATAAGTATTTTATATCACGGTATCACATAAAATTTAGACTATACCTTCCGCAGCGCCTGTTTTATCTTCTCCCATGGATGTCGAACAGTCGACTTCATCTCAACTTGATTCAACAGCGGTACCTTCGTAAGTTTTTTGAGTCTGTTTGAGTTGCTTTTCGTACATTGAGCTTATTAGGACATCTGTTGCTGATGCCCAGTCCAACACGATGCATGTAATGCCCATATCTGATGAAGAAATTGAAAGACCGCCGCGGCACAGTCAGCTCCCCGGCGAAGATAATTCTGTAGTGGATATTTTGCATTATGAATTCAAAGATAGAGTGAGTTTGATTGTCACGTGTTTGAGATCCACAAAATCTTTCTTTTAAGGTTGGCCCGCCTTTCAAATGTCATACGCTGAACTTGTGGGTAGATGGATTTTGCGGGTCTGGGGATCCCACTAGGTTCAGTCTTGGTTCCTTGGGTAATAGCAGTCGACAACCAGGTGTTATTCCAGTGAGAGGCCAGATCGGTGGGTCTTACTTAACTCATATTTCATTCTCGTTGGCACTTTTCGTTAGTTTTTTGTCTGGTCTCTTTGCTCATTTTGCTTCTGCAGTCGTGGCAACATCAATTTTGTAGAGATTTTTAAATCAAATCAGCCCTATATGGGAATAAATTTCTTTAAACGTGAATATTCAAGCTTAGTTTTTTCATACATCATATTTACATCGTCTGAGTTTAGGCAAAGGTATGCAAATGCTCTACGATGAAGGACGAACTTCGATAACATGCTTGTGCGAGTCTCCTATTTTTGTGCAAGCTCCACTGCATGCCAAACGCTTGAATGACGATACAGCCACTGTGTACAGGCTATCGGGTGTCTCTGAAGGCGACGATGCATCGAGTAGGTTGTGCTTTTGTAGTAGAATTCCCAAATTATTGTCAGAATTCACTTTTTCCTATTTACAACGCTTTTTATTGTCACTGATTATTGCCAACATTTAAAGTATCGTGATCTTTGACTATTCTCACTCTTGTACGGCGCGAAAGAAACAAGAGCAAGTAGCGCTTGAGCTATGGATTCAGTTAAGGCAGGCACCGTCTACCCAAATTCTCGACTTCCATGTTTTTGT